GAGTTCACTCTCACCACTGGACCACCAGGGAAGACAGCATGGTCCCCCTCCTCCATGGATACCCGGCTCCCCACACCCACGCAGAACGGATCTCCCCCCTCCCAGGCTAAAGGTAAGAAGGGAGGGGGGGACATAACTTTTTTTTTAAAATTATTAATAATTATTAATTATAATAACATTATAATTATTAATAAAATAAAAAATATATATTTAAAATAATTTCCCTAACAGCCCCCCAGACACACACAGCCCCCCCAGACACACACAGCACCCCACAGACACACACATCACCCCCCAGACACACACACATCACAGCCCCCAGACACACACAGCAACCCCACAGACACACACACACAGCCCCCAGACACACACACACAGCCCCAGACACACACACCCACAGACACACACACAGCACCCCACAGACACACACAGCCCCCAGACAAACACAGCCCCCCCGACACACACAGCACCCAGACACACACAGCACCCCACAGACACACACAGCGCACCCCCAGACGCACACAACACCCTCAGACAGACAGCACCCTCACTCCTACACATATACAGCACATATATATTATATAAAATAACCCTCAGTGAGTTAACAGACAAATAAAATTAGAAACCCGGAATGTGACGGCAGATAAAAACACCCTCACACACAGCACCCCTCTTACACAAACACGCTGCGCACCTCACACATACAATACGTCCAAATATATTTTATATATATATACAAAAATCAAAACTGAAGATGCACTCGCAGGACTTGGTTAAAGTTAAAAAAAGGGACTTTTAATTATTTCACATGGAAGTCCCTTCCATGTCCCTTTTTTTCACTTTAACCAAGTCCTGTGAGTGCATCCTCAGTTTTGATTTTTGTATATATAATATATTTCTGTATATTTTCTGCCGTATATTTCTGACATTTGGCATATAGCACCCAGGCTATTAGTTCTTTCTTATTACTTAAAGGAGAGTGCCAATCCTGTTTTTTTGCTATATATATATATGTATATATATATATATATATATACACACACACACTACAGCACCCCTCACACTGCACCACTACACACATTACGCTCCAGATACACGCTAGATCCCTTACCCTATATGCACTCTTAATCCTCTACACACACACAATCTTCTATACACACTCTGGGTCCTTTACACACTAGATCTCTTACACACACACTGCACCACCTACACACACACTACATTCCTTGTAAGCAAACACATACAACATTCTCTAAACACACCCTCTCTACACACAGTAGTGTGTGTGTGTATAAGTGACACATACTACGTCACCTATACACAAACACTACTGCCCGTATGCACACACTCGCTACATCCCCTATAACACTATGCCCCTATACACGCACTCTCTACAGCCCCTAGCCACACATATTACACCACAAAATTGACCTATTTACACAATACAACACCACACTCTACACACAGGCAATCCCACAAGCATGCGCCAAACACATGCACCATACACTTTCCTGGCCCTTTTGTCCTCTGGTATCCCACTTGTGGAGACACCAGAGACAATTTAAAAGCAAACACAGCGCAAGCATGTTATTACATTTGCTTGCACTGCGCAGAACAAATACAGGGCCTTTTTCTAATGCTAGAGCTCTTCAGCGGGGCTCTGCGCATTGAACCAACATGCTCACTTTCTCTGGCCCTCCCCCTTTTTTGGGGGCCGCTCTAATTGAAAAATGCCCGGGCCTAATTTTTTTCCCAGTCCGGCCCTGGTGTTTGTAGTAAAATGCCTGAAGGCAATGATTATACTCAGAAAAACTACATTAAGCTTTAGTTGTTCCAGTGACTAGAGTGTCCCTTTAAGCAAAACTAAAAGATTTGAACAGGGAGGGAAATGCAGCATCAGTAAGAGGTCAAAACTTATCAAATGCACAGATGTGATTATGTCCTGAGTGTTTCCCTTAAAGATTAATTGACTTTGTCAAACACTCGATTAAAAAAAAAAAAGGATCAGTTTACTAATGCAAACAAATCTCCTGGAAATCACACCAGAAAATAACATTTATTGATTTACAGATAATAAACAAGAAATACAAAATTACAGATATACAACTCAAAGGGAGCAATTTATTTATTTATATTTTTGATAATTCTTTTTTTTTTTTATTCTTTGTAAGTGTATAGATTATTACAAGTTTCAATACTGCCAGAGAATGTTACAGTAGTCGACAATTGGTGACATTTTGGTATCAGCTTCAAGATACGTTGCACAGATACGTAAGCATAGACAGGCATAACAGAATAAAATAACAATCAGGTTTTGCTTGAGATCATATTATTATAGTTAGTCATATATTGCGCAATTTTAAATGCTGGGTTACTCATGGGTTAACTTTAAGGTAACAGTAAACATAAGATACAAACCAGTAAACATAGGGTAAACAAAAAACAAAAAAGGTGTAGTGCTACATACAGATACAGAGTCGTCCAAAGTGTGAATATCTGTCACTCCAAAAAATAGAGACCACAATTGTGAAATAGTGTCCTAGAAAAGAAATGATAAACTCATAGTGTGACACTGTAATCAAATATGAAGAAACAAAAGATCTGAATGAAACCACTCACATATTACTGAGCTAATAAACCTAGCTCAGGGGTAAAAGCGACCTTTCCCCTTCTTTAGTAGACTTCTTTCCCACGCAGTAGCTAGGGCTCAAGCAGAGAGAATATACGTTATGTAGTTAAGGACTACACTCCTATATAGCAGGAACCAATAGCCCAATATAATCAAATCAAATATTTATTGTAAAAAATTTTAAATGTAAATTTAAAATTCCAATGGCCAATTAGAATCTGTAAAAAATACAATACATATACATAAAAAAGGGCATAAAGGTGGTATATAAAAAGTCCCCAGGACGCGTTTCGCCAACTTTATATCAGCTTCCTCAGCTGGGTGTAAAGTGTAATACCTTCTTTCTCCTGATCGGAGACCTGCTATATACGTGGTCCATGTGCAGCAGAGATCAATCCACACAAACAGTTGGACAATTAACATGAGCCTTGACGTTGAAACGCAAGAAATTCAACATAAAAATGGTCCTCGGTTGGTGAATCATACTGATGGAGATGGCAGGATATGAACATTACAAAAATGTGCGAAATTTCTTTGTGGAGAATTTCTTTATAATTGGCTTGAAGTCAATGTTCTTCAGGATGTCATTTTCCATACATGAGTGAAAACCAGTCCAAATGCTGCTGCCCCATTGTGCTGCAAAGCTGTTTTCCCCCATTCTTTATTTTTCTCAGAATAAGGATAACACACATATTGTACACCGTGATACAGACATTTAGTAATGAGACACAGTGGTTTACACTTTGAGATGTTTGGGAAATGGAGGGGGTGGTTGGATCAGAGTGATACACAGTACATCATTGCATCTGGTGGTATATAACATTATTTGTTTGAGCATGGAGTAAGAATGACACCGTGTCAGGTCCTTTAGCAGGCATAAAGCTGGGTTTTGTTTTTTTTAAATCGGTTTCAGTCTTGAAAATTAATAAAAAGAAAGTTTTAATAAAATAAAGTTTTCATTAAGAGTGTTTCATAGTTATGAATAAATTTCCTGGAATAATATATTAAAATGTTAGGAAGCCCTTGGACCTCGTCGGAGCAAAGACCTCCAGCATCGTTTGGAGCGGCTGGCTACACCATTGCAACAAGCGAACCCCATCGTCTAGGCTGCGGGCCCTGAGATCGGGCATTGGCTAGAGGATTACCCAACACCGGCAACCCGAACCCAACGCCTGCTACGGACTACACTGGGACACTTATGGACCCTACCTTCAACGCGTTTATCTCTAATCGCAGATGGCAGGGGACTTTATTCATGGTGAAAAAAAAAACTAAGTGTTCTCTGATTTATATATGTTGCATATATTGTTTTTTCCGTTCTGCTCTACATCTGACTCATAGCCGTAAATACATACTGTGTGCAAAGCCAGCCCCACTGCCGCTCACTGACCCCCAGGCCCACTCTCCTATTAACGCTGGGAACCAGCATTTTAATTTAACTTGGAGTTCAACCATGTTCATGCCGGGAGCCATGGTGGGGGGCGGCGTTTGGGATGCCACTAGGGACCAAGCTTCAGGCAGAGCCTTACTGGGTATAGCCTCAACAGTCGCCAGAAATAGCTCACGTACCCTCAGGTCCACTAAACTACAGCCCATAATGGCAAGGAGGGCTCCAGCTATTAGTTAGCATGATACCTGTATATATAGGTAGACACATCAGCCTGCTATGAAGATGTTTGACTCAGCATGTTATTAACCTATGTCAGTCCCGTCTAGTTCTCTCTTGTAAATACATCTGTTGCTAATGCCACTCGCAATGTCTAATCTACAGATTTACTCTAACGTATGTAAAAATGTGCGATTAATCTTAATGCACAAACTGTTAAACCTGAATTTAAGCTCGAGGACTGCTGTTGGGGCACCACAAGCCTGCATGTTTTCTTTCAAAGCACAATAAAAATAAAGAATAAAAAAAAAAAAAAATTAAGGAAGCCTGTGGGGGTCCTATTCTCTTGGGACCCCCAGGGCACTTGCACAGCATGCCCATGCATTAAGACGGCTCTGCCACACATACACAAAAAAAAAACCAAACACAGACACACACAGTCACACTCCACACACACAGCCTCATCAAAAAAAGCAAGACCACAAGCAGCCTCCCATACACGCAAGACACTGACAGTAGTTGCTGCCACAGACATACACCCCCAGTCACAGAGATGTAGAGGCTCCCATACACAGAGGTAGACATGCTTACAGACACACATACATACAGATACATATTCCTGGCACACTCCCAAATACACATACATACAGTTATGTACTCACAGACCCACATGAATACAAGGATACCTCATTCGAAACACACAGGGTTATTAACTAAAGTGAGAATTTAAAAAGAATTCAAAGTGTAATTCAAATTTAACCCCTTAAGACCACAGCCAAATGTACAAGTTGTGATCAAAACAAAATAATACGGGTAAGTACAAAAGATCGCAGGGAGTTCTATGCAGCCCTGCGGCGTTTAGAACCATCTAAATAAGGACGGCATAGAACGCCCTGCGGTCTTAAGGGGTTAAGGACAGAGTAGCCAAGCTGAAAGCATTTAGTGAAGAACCCTGTGGGACAGCCTGAGCACATACACAAATACAAAATGCTTGACTTGCTCCAGTAATAACACAATGCCAGATACTCATTGTCTGAGTACACATGTGATAAAGAATATGTGGGAGGGAAATGTTACAGGAAATGTAACATTTGTTTCAGAAAAGTTATTTGTTTACTACACTGTTTTCTTATCTGTAACTTCTATTGGGTAAATACATTTTTTAAATTTTTCCTATCCAATTTTTTTTTGTTTGTTTCCTCTAAATAACGCTATTTAACTTACTGAAATAAAAATAAAAAATTATACATTACTTTCCAGTGCTCCCAAAATGCCGATTCTGGTGCAAATAGCTCAGTATTGAAGGGGTTAATGAAACAGTGAACAGCTTAATGTATGTTAATAGTATTTGCATTTATAGTTTGCTAACATCTGGTTAATATTTTTTCATGTACTTAAAAGGAATAACAGGAAATAAGAAACAAGCTATTCCAAGCATTTGCCTTAAACAAGAAGATATCAAGAACTTCGCTTGAACGAGATTACAATCTAAAGCTGTGGTTACCAACCTTTTTTTCCCCCTCGAGTGCCCCTTGACAGGCCATTTCTAGACATATGCAATTTGTGTCGTTTCGAATGTACATTCTGTTAAGACACCTCCAGTGTCTTTAGGCAAAACCGCAGTTTAGTCGACCTTCCCCGTCTGCAGTAACAGTAACTCCGTTCGCCTAACCTGTAGTACACAAACCAAATGCAGGGGAAGCAGCAATCTCCCGACCGGGATCCGTGAACGGCTCCAAACTCCCGAACGGCAATACACGAACTGCTGCTAGCCGCCGAACAACAATATCCACCAAGTGGCTTTCGTTTCCATCCAGCAGTCTCTAAACGTGAAGAAGAAATCCCCCCAATAACGAGACAGAAGCTCTGCATTGAGGGTCAAACAGGATCTGGCTTTACTGTGGACTACCTGCCCGTATTTATGCAGGTCTCCCACTTGGTGGACACTCCCCTAGGGGACCAAATGGGAAACTTAAATGACAAACAGATATGGGGACATTCCAGACACACAGTCACAGATTTTACCCACAGTGCATTATGATTCCCTCCCCTCTGCCCTGGAGATAATTACCGAGTAACTCAATTATCTCCAGGACTAAGCCAGTCGCCATTTTAAATATAACATCACAAAAGACATAAAAATACATAACTTTCAAATACCCGAACGTTTCCCATTCGTATCACATATCCCCAGATAGCCTGGATCTGAGTGCATATTATTAGCGAATAGCGCTCAGATCCCACACACATAGTTCAATCGCCATGGAGTCAAAGTTCTTACAGTCTTTAGGTATACGAATGACTCCATGGGAAGGCTATCTGGGTTAAGTCTTTTTGTGTGCTCCAAACCTCCCGAACGGCCGGTATTCATATGCTTTCATGGAGACAGCCAGGCGTTCCCTTGTTTCAGCGGTGTTCGGCAGAAAAAGTGTCCGTTTTTAGTTCCATAGAAATAGAGCCAAACACCGCTGGGCTTTCGCGTGGTTTAAAATGGCCGCTGCCTCGTGGTCGACATACGAACGACGACCACCCTGAATTTGGTTTAATTGAGAAGTGTCTGCGGTTAACCACAACGTTCTAATTGGGATCAATAGGTTAACCAGCAGCACACTCCTCTCCTGGGTGGCCGTCCGTTCGGCAGGTTTGTTCGGGAAAAAAGTCATTCGAATGGTTGGGCTATAGAAAACAGCCATTCATACGAACGGGATACAAACAGACGAATGCAACTAAAGCAGGCAGATGGTTCTGTCACACATTCGTATGAATTTCATGCCATTCGGACACTTATGAATGTCCGAAGTGCCAAGGTTCCGAAAACCCAAAGTGACGAAGTGATTCGGATTTCTGAAAAGTGGCAAAACAAGAGAGAGTGAGGGAAAAAATTACGTGAATGATTACAGGAATATTGACCAATAAGCTAATTCTTTTTGAGCAATGTAACGCTTGCTTGTCCAATCCGGTTTCACTATTCCCTGTCCAATGAAATAAGCAAATTTTTGTGATTGATGTTAGTGGACAGTCAATGAATGGTGATTTTGTCACTGACACTTGGCCAATGGAGGCACACAGAGTCATTGAGGTGGGATAGTATGTAAATCAGGCTGTCAGGGTGTTGGCTTGCATTCATGTGTCCAGACTAGTTGTGATATCATAATAGACAGATAAATTACACTACATTTATTGTACTTTACTTGTTGCAAACTTGGTGAGCCACATTGCTTTTAAGTGTGTGTTCCAGAAGGAAAGAGGGAGAGTTTTGATTTTTTTCTTCTGCATTTTGTTTCTTTTTTTGAAGATGGGGGGAGCGAGAGAGTGTGTGGCTGTGCAAGCCAGGGAGTGTGATTGCCAGGGTCTCTCTGCTGCACTGTGACTTTGCTACCGTGTGTTAATATGTTTTTTTTGTTTTCTGCGATTTAATTTAAATAAAAAATACCAAATTTTTGTTCACGTATCCCTGGATTGTGCCCCAATGGTACGTGTACTACGGGTTGGGACCTCTGATCTAGAGGACATGAGGTATTAATACACAAAATGGTGGATAAGATCAGATGACTGAAAGGGAAAGCAGAAGAGTTGGAAAGTAGCACAGTGAAGTAGACTGTGGAGCCACTAATTAAGGCTTAGATTAAATAAGCTTTCCAAATAATTCAATTCTGTTAGAAAAATATTCTAACAAAAATCCCCAAAGTCTTTCTCAGTGACCTCTATAAATAAATCTGGGACGTTTTTCTAGCAGTATTGAATCATGTGGGTAGTTTACTAAATCCAGGCTAGGAGAGAGAAAGAGACAGATTTTAGGACTGTCTGACATAACAAAAAGTAGTCTGTGCAGTAATCTCCAGAAAACCAGAACACGCAAAACTCAGAGCAAGAGATTTAAATCACTGGAAGCTAACCAAATGGCAGTGGGGATTGATGGCATAAAAGAGAGAGGCCCTGAAGAGCAAATAAGCAAACCACTCTCACTATAGAAAAAAAAAAAAAAAAATTTTATTGTTCATTGAATATGATTGTACAGGCAAATCCCGGACAGATCCATTCATTTGAGCAAATATTAAAAAGGCATTTGATTAGTTTATAGCAGCTATTTATATATATTCACAAGGCTGATATCCTTCTTTGTCATTAGCCTGCTAGAGCCTGCAGCAGCCTCCTGTGTGAATAATGTTTAATTATCAAATCAGGACAAAAAAAAAACTTCTAAATTAAACACCCTCAACTGTAAAAATTAAACTTTTTTTTTTTTTTTTAATGCTGGATGTTTAAGTCAGGGTTGGTATGACTTATTTAACTCCTAAATGGCAGAGAATGGAACAATGATACTACAGGGGCATGATCTATACAACTAAACTTTTTCATTAAAGGTACACTATAGGCACCAAGACGAATTAATCTCATTGAAGTGGTCTGTGTGCACCTGTCCCCCTCAGTCCTGCAATGTGAAATATTGCAGTTTTCGAGAAACTGCCATGTTTACATTGCAGTACTAATACTGCCTATAGTGACCGTCTACGAGACAGCCATTATAGACGCTTCCTGGTGTTTCACAGAGTTTGACTCCCTGAAATGACACTGGACGTTCTCACGCTCAGCATGAGGACATCCACTGTCAGAGAAAACACGTGTGCATTTGGTCCCCCTGTTGGATAACAGAGGAGGAGGTGGAGCATGACCCAGTGAAGAGGGACCTTCGTGCGGGAATTGGGTAAGTGAATAAGGCGAGGCGTGAGGGAGGGGAGGGTCTTTCTCTAACACAATAGTAAAAGGAACACTATAGTCACCTAAATTACTTTAGCTAAATAAAGCAGTTTTAGTGTATAGATCATTCCCCTGCAATTTCACTGCTCAATTCACAGTCATTTAGGAGTTAAATCACTTTGTTTCTGTTTATGCAGCCCTAGCCACACCTCCCCTGGCTATGATTGACAGAGCCTACATGAAAAAACAGACTTTCAAACAGATGTAATTTAGCTTAAATAATTGTATCTCAATCTCTAAATTGAACTTTAATCACATACAGGAGGCTCTTGCAGGGTCTAGCAAGCTATTAACATAGCAGGGGATAAGAAAATCTTAATTAAACAGAACTTGCAATAAAGAAAGCCTAAATAGGGCTCTCTTTACAGGAAGTGTTTATGGAAGGCTGTGCAAGTCACATGCAGGGAGGTGTGACTAGGGTTCATAAACAAAGGGATTTAACTCCTAAATGGCAGAGGATTGAGCAGTGAGGCTGCAGGGGCATGTTCTATACACCAAAACTGCTTCATTAAGCTAAAAGTTGTTCAGGTGACGATAGTGTCCCTTTAAGATAAACTTTTTTGTTAAATAGAGTATCCATTTAAATGGTATTCTGGTTACTCGAACTGTATATAAAGCCTGATCAGTATATGAAGCTTGGAAGCTCTGCCCAGAAAGAAAAAAAATTGTGGGAAATTAGGAAAAGGGCAGTAGACAAAATGTCTAGGACTAGGACTAAAGCTTTGTAAGTCCAAAATACTTAATAGACGCCAGGGATATTTTGATGCCTCTGCAGCTTCTGGATGGCCTACTCCTGTCTTGGCTGGATATATATTGAACCTGTGAGCCAGCCATATGCCACCTCCCACAACGTTTGCTTTGCGACTTCTCTGTTGATGATGACAATCTTACCCATGCACTGATGAACGGGAAAAATGCAAATATAACAAACAATACAAGAATTGCTTCGTTTGTTTACTGATCCCAATTACTAAAGCATCCTTGGGAAGTTGCTATATAACCCCAACTCTCTTTGATATGAAAGTTTTGCTGTGAATGTTTTTTTTTTTTTTTTTTTTAAACAATAGATCAGATCAGATTTCATTTAACAATAATAAGGATTGTTCTTGTTTAACAATAATAAGGGGGGTGTTTGCTCTGGGAGTGAATGTATATAATGTATGTGTGTTCTGTAAACTGCATATCAAGATTCCATCAATAGAAGAATGAATAATGTGCTTTCCA